CACAAGATGCCATGAAGGAAAGTACAGAAATTATAGGTGTGTACTTTCTCAATAAGTACTATCACACAGTATTTCTGCCGAAACTTTGCAGATGCAATCACTTTTCAGGTACAAAGCATCCAGTTCTAGAAACATAGTAAAACTAACACCTACACAGACTTGTGTTGTTGCAGCTAACATACATATTGGAATATATAATTTAACTCTATGCTTTAAGAATGCTCTTTCCCAAACAATTTTTAATGAATATTGTTAATCTTCAGCAAATAAGAAAACTTACTGTGCTGTTTGTGGTTTTCACTGCTGCGTGACACCGCTCTGCTTCATTTAATAACCTACAATCTCTCAACACTTAGCAATATACCTTGTGTAAACTTCACACCACTGTCGTTCTGAAGCATCACTCTTGGTTTTTCTGCCTACACTCCCACTGCCTGGGTGATGCATAAAACAAATACCTCTTCCTGCTGGTGCAGTTGCCACTTTTCATCTCTAGTACAATATCCACCTAATCAGACAGTGCCTATAAGTGCAACTTAAAAGAGCAGGTTGTAATTTCATTAAAGATGTATTTACTGAGCTAAAACAGCTGTTCTGGGCTGGAATGCAAAAAAAAAGGCCTATGTGATTGCTACTCAGTCATTTTTAAGGCAACTGAAAAATACATTTGCTGAGCTAACCTCACTCTCCCGAAGAGCTGGCACTGCTGGCTTCTTCTGTATAAAAGGTTTAAACAGTTATTATAGTGTGTCATAAATTTTGACTTGTAATTGAAAATCTCTTCACTTCCTACAAAAAAAAAAAAAAGTCCTTATTACTTGCTATGTAATTACAGACCATGCAGCTGCTCTCTTCGGCTTCGCTAGAAAATTTGAAGAAATGAAACACTGTGCAAACCTTATTCAAATGTTATTAAATTGCTAGTCATAGATATGCCACTCTCATACTGGAGGCTCTCAAATAATATCACTTTCTTCCTGTTACCAGGACTAAAAAGTAGATGAATCAGAAGTGGATCCAGGTCATATTGAGTTTCCCACCACAGAGGAGACCATCAGGTCTTTAGCAGGAAAGTATAATCTCTATTTCTGCCAAGAAGACATCAAAGGAAAAGATACCTGAGCATGTATCTGGAAAGAGACTTCAGTGCATAAAGACAATTTTTATTTCATTTTCAATAGGTCCTAATAATTATGCACGGCCACAATTGTCTAAGTCACTTCACTACAATCTTTGTGCCATTTCCTTGTGTCATTTATAATGAAAAGAAACTATTCATGAAATAGTGAACCTCATATTTCAGCCAAAGGCATGGGATTGGTGACCCCACAATATCCTGTTCACCTCCAGTGGTTTGACATGAGTCATACTTGATTAACTATTCCCTAGCCTTTGTGTACTGTGGAGGCTATGGTGTGATGCTGAATTTTCAGAGCAATTAAAATAAAATATACACCATGCGCCCCTACCTTTGATTTACAATGCATTTCAGTCTTGGGTCACTGATTTGAAATGGGCAGCTTCTGGAAAAAGGCTTTACATACCCCTGACTTCACTTTGCATTTTGTTTCTCCCTGTTGGTGCTGTATCAACATTTAAACCAGCAAGTTATTAATTTGCTGGGATCAGTTTGGGCTCTAACAAGGATTTTAAAGACTGAAGATTACAATTAATTCATTATCACAGTGTAAAAGAACTATGAAAATGGTTATCATACATAAGTCACAACATTGTTTCCATCTAGTGTTTATTGTTTTCTTAATTCCTGTCCAGACATATGCAGAAGAGCTCCAGGATACATATTACAGTCTGAAATCTCAAGTGAGGTCTACAGGATGTTGGACAAGTAACTTCCTGTGACTGCCAGTGAGATCAATGATTCCTTGGCATTTTGAAAAATTCCACTCAAAGAACCACTTTGAGGTTTTAAATTCAAAATACAGACTACCATAGTCGGTTTAGATCATCAATTCAAAGTAGCTAAAATTTGGAATGAAGTTTTGGACCTTCAGAATAAACTAACTGCTCTCAGTTTTAAAGCACAGTTATTCATATAGTTCTGGTTAATTACACAGACTTTTCAACAAATGGCCAAATTAATCTTTTATAAACAGTGATGCTTTCAAACATAATCATTTCTTTAGAAGCGAGGATTTTTTTTCTCTTTTAATCCAACTGCAACTGAAGATGCTTGTTGTTCATCAGGGACCTTTATAATTAAAACTCCAACAGTCTGAAATTATTTTCCAATTATTACTCAACACACAAATGGCTGCAGCAATACTATTTATACTTGTCACCAGAAAATACTGTGATTGCTTTCACACATGTCACTAAAAAAAAAACAACTAAAAGGTGGAAAAACTAAAAAAACTAAGGTGGAAAAACAGAGAAGGAGTTCTGAAAGATTATGGATCCATTATTATTGATTCTGGTATTCACCAGGAGCAAATTACAGAAGCAAAATGCAAAAATTCAGTCTGTCCCACTTTGCTGCCACTGAACTAAACACTTTTGGAAGCTGAACTAACAACAGACACATTTAAAAATTTGCAGTAATTGTTGAAACAGGTACCTACTATAATTGTCTTGTAATCTAGGGATGAAGCCAAAAGGAAATTATTGAAAAAATGAAAACCAGCAGATGTGCAAAGAACGTTGTTAGCTGTAGAAACAGGAAATTGGTATTAAGAGTTATAAGACAAATAGCTGCACAGATCTGCTCAGAAGAAGTGTTTATGCATGTAGGAAGAATAACAAAGGGAATTCCTTGAGGGCTTTATATTTCACTGTAGATGCTGAAATACTTAAAATACAGGGGCTCAAAAGCTGGAAGCTAATTTCTCTTTTACCTCAAAAAAACCCCCAAAACCCCACCTCCCACTGCATCCAGGAGGAAAAACTTTGACATTCTCTTTTTAATTTATAAAATTACTATATTATAATTTTCTCATCCATCTATCTATTCCTTCAGACTACACTTGAGCAAATTTCTTTGCTGGTTTCAAAAAATCAAAAAAAAATCCCACCAATAGCTTTTGTTTTAGACGTTCCAAGTTAATCTTCCTTGGTGAAGCATCATGCAGTGGATATTTCCAATTTGGAAATATCCACTCTTCGGACAGTGAAGAGTCTGCTCACATATTCTGCTGTACACATGAAACAGTTTAGAAAAGAAAACATACAGTGCTGTCCATCAGAGGTGTTTGCTTCTGAAGTGCAGATGTCAGATTCTACCAGATGACCACAATCCATGTGGTTCAGGTGGTGGTCACCTGCTACGTGGGCAGGGGCTGTGTTAGTCCTCTGTCCCCCAGGGTAGTCTCCAGAGTGAGGTTCTGCAACCTTGACCCTTCCTTACCCCCCCCTTGATGTTCTGGGAAGCAGATATAGATGGAGACATACCCTCACTTTGTCTTTTAAGATGCCACAACACAATTAATGAAATGTTAAACAGCAGTGTGAAAACACTGCAAAACATTGAGAGTAGTTTTGGAACCTGAAGTTGATTATTATCAGAATGTATCCCATGAACCTTCTCTCCTTTTAGTTAAAAGCCCAGTGAAAACTTTTCCTATGCTTCCTGCTAAATTTCTTCTTCCTTAGAAGTACATCATGAATGAACAGGAAAAATCATCTCGAAGTACACAGTACTATGTTTTTCACAGTAAGATAAAAACCAAAAAGAAGTAACAGAGACATTAAAAAAGAAACTATTAAAAATGCAGCCTAACCAAAGACACTGTTGGCTCTTCATCTATTACTACTGTTTATGAGACCAAGAAGTAGACACGATTTAAAACAACAGAAGTAGCACAACAGTAAGAATAAACCACAGAAGCACAATGTATTTACTGTGCACTACTCTACAGTGCATGGTAAATTAGTAAGCAAATAGAAAAATCCATCCTAACATCCAAAAGTCTTCTCTTCAAAATAATATTTTGTGCATTACATGCATACACATCTGCCAGTATAATTAGCAAAACAGCTAAGTCACTATTTGATTTGTTTAAGTTGCAAGAAAATTAATTTTTTTAAGTATTTATATATATATATACACACATACCTATCTTACTTATGTAGAAAAGTTTTTTCTAGATTATGTATTCCATTAGTATATTCCACTGATGGAAAAGATCAACTATGGTGGGGTGAAAAAAACCTGGTGCTATTCAGATCTGCTGTTGAAATTAAAAGTCACAAGGCCAAGAAGGATTTGCTGGGTTATGGAGACCTGGGTTTTAATTCCTGTTCCCAGACCTGTTTCTGTGTTAATATTTTTTAATGTAACAATAATTCAGCATCAAAACAAGGAAGAGTTCCAGAAAATGAGGACCAAACTCTGTTCTGTTAGCTGAAAGGAGCCAAACTAATTTAATACTCTTTTGCAGGATAGTCTCTCTTCCCCTGCTCACTCTGGAATATTCTCCGTGTTTGTTCCAGAATACACAAGTCTTTCTCGAACACAAGGGGCCTGTTCCAGATTTCAGCTTTGCTTTATGCTTGTACTAGTCTGGTTTTTTGTTTCCTCAAGAGGAAGGTTTCTCTCCAAGACTTAATAGAAGTGAACCAAGGAGCCAGCAAAGCCCACCTCAGTGCTGTGCTGCTAATCCATTCTGCTAGTGCAAGAGAGCAACTCTCCTGCCAAGTTGTCTCCCTCTTGGAATCAGCACATTATTCTGAAGGCTACTCTCACTAATACATTCCTAAAACATCTTTACTGTCTCCAGTAAATTCAGTGAATACCCATGTGCTCACAACACCTACAAATCATTTTTCTTCCTTCCGCAGGAATCCATTACCCAGACAACTCACCCAGACTGGGTGTCCCTGCTCAGCTGGCTCTGGAACAAGTTTTGTAGTGCCAAAGACCAGCCATAAGGGAAATAAATCTCGGAAATAATGTCAGACAACAAGCTGTAAGTAGTAGGGATGGATTCCAGCATTATTCAACGACTGAAATTTGAAAGTGTGGGGAACGGGAACATTGCTCTCACCTTCCTCTCGGTAAATCTGCATCATCTTTCTTCCACCGGACTGTGGGTGTGGGATCCCCCTGCACCTGGCACCGGAAATCCACGGCCTCCTCCTCCAGCACCACTTGGTTTATCGGTCGCCTGAGAAACGTGGGCCGCTCTTGAAAGAGACATTAAAATTCCTTGGTGAGTCAGAGGGTTGAAATGAACATTTTTTGACTTTTCAGCATCTTTTTGTTTACCCATCCACCACACAGAAAGGAGGCTGAGCTCCACAAATTCAGACAAGTGGAACTGATGATGTGCATAAAGAGCCAGGAAGAGGGCTGCCAGGCTGGAGAGGCAGGGGCTGTCACATCTGGCCCTCAAGGAAGAGTGGAGTGCCACCAGAAGGCAGCCTGTGCCAGGACTGACTGCCCACCTGCCCTGCTGGACAGCACACAGGCCTCTGAGCCCGTACCCTCCCCTGGGAATGCTCTGGCTCTGCACTGCTGCATACACAAAGCCTGATCTGAGAGCTCCTGCCCGCTCTAGCAATATATGAGCTGCCAATGGAGTCAGCCTGCCTTTAGCAACAGTCAATACCTTGATGTTTCGAGGAAAATTTAAATTCAGCGTTAGGCGTCTAAGGCAACTGCGGAGTGTCGGGCAGAGGACAGAGCTTCCCTTCGCCGACTTCACCATGGAAAACCAAATTAAGGTCTGAATAACGACTTCTGTTTACCCTTGTTATTTTAGCCTGCACGGCTACAAATATTATTAATCACCCTAATGTTGCACAGGCCTGCTTAAAATCCAGATGCAGAGCCACAATCTGCTCTCAGTGGTCCTGGTGCAGTACCCTGTACACAGACACTGGTACAAACTCCAAGTACCGGTAATTTCATTTGAAAGGATGTCACTGGGGTGAGTTTCCAAGTTGCCTTTGGATTGCATAAATTTTGTTCTGTCCTCTCAACCATACCACACTTTTATTGTCATAAATTATTTATGCTAGTCAAACCATTATAAGACTGGGTTTATACGAAGCAGTATTTCCACTCAAGACAGGGATTTATCATAAAGGCATTTAAAACTGGTTACACGCTATGTTTCACATTTCATTCTCAGCAAGTTGAAGGGTATGATGTCACTTTAAAAAATTACTCAAAATTCATACGGATGCAAGCAATACCAGATTCTGACTCGGGCAGTTTGTCTTGATAACTACAGAGCTGAGTTTATAGGTTGGTTATACATGTTTGTTATATGCAAATAATAATAAAAATAAAAACCATTAAAGAGCGTTAATAAGGTTGCAAAATCAAGCAGGCAGCACCCTCACTGCCAGAACTAAGGCTGCCTGCGTGCCTGTTAATCACTTCCTTTCTGTTCATGCCTTATGGGACTGGTTGCAATTATATGATAACACACCATTTTCCCCCCAAACATCTCCAGATTGTTGGTGTTCATTTAATGAGCAGGTGTTTAATATTTTGCTTTAGTTGTACTGTTTAGTGGGTGGCCTCCTGTCATACTAATCAAACTTCACTTCAAAGGCAGAATTATTAATTTCCTCATGACCTCTATTACATATATCTTAAAAGCTTCGTGAGCAACTCAGTTATTTTCGTAACTCCTCTCCAAGGTGTGATGGAGATCTTAGAAAGCAAGATAAAAAGTATCTGCTAAATTTTTATGCCCAATCTGAGCCACAAAACTGGCAATTTTTAAGGGGCGGGGAGAATTAAACACTAATTTTGTGTGTTCAAAGCTCAGCTTCCATCGAATTCAGTTGCAGACAAAAAAAAATGTTCACCCCTTTTATAAATCAGAATATCAAGTCAGAAAATAAGGGAACACAAAACCACCTGTTAGTAATTATGCAAATGAGTGACAGCATCAGATAGGAATTCCATGATAGTAGCAAGGGAACCTATTGGCAGGGGAAAACGTATTTTGTCAGCAGAAGAATAGACATGCTCAAGAATCTATAGCACTTTTCCAGATGATAGAGATAAGAATATGTCTAACGGGCAGAGATTCTTCTCCCCAAGCCATTGCTTTTGTCCTATTCCTGTTCCTGCCCAGGACCTGCAGGTTCCAGCAACGTTTGGGCAAGTAAATTCAGTTCTAGTCTCTTTCCACACATTGAAATCTTTACTATTCCACATTTCAAGTCTGTGTACAAGCCATATCCAGCTGCTGACTGCTTCCTTAGCCAGTTTGTCTCATCTTAGCCCAGAAATATCGTATCGGACCTGCACTTAGGACAGAAAGCTTCCTCCATTGCTCTCCTTCAAACCTTTGCCCATTTCTCTCCAATTATTCCTTTTACTCAAAACTGCAAGAACTTCAACATTTTCAGAGAGGAGTGAATTATTTTGGCAATTTAAAAAATAAATAAATTAAAATCAGTTTTCTAATCAGACACGGAATATTTTGGATTAAGCCTTTTTTAGTTTGACAAACTTATTAAAACTGGACAAGGTAAAAAACCCAATTATTTCTTAACGTTAGTGCTGAGCAATGCACTTGGCCCACCTGTAACTATGTGAATCTAGATGGGAATTTCTTTATGAAACTTTCTGCGGGCTAGCAACAGCATCTTATTCACAACTGCTCTCCTAAGAAGATCTCAGACCAAACCCTGCTCTGAGCTCATACATAATACATTCTTCATTTTGGTATTTGTTTTTCAGAGATGATACTAAACTAGGAAATTTAGATCCAGATTGACATTTTAATTGGTGATTTGGAGGCCCTTGGTACACCCACATTGAATTTAAATAACTCTGTGTGTACCTGCACAATGGCTTGATCTGCACACAAAGATTATTTTAGACCACGTTTATAAAAGCTGTATGTAAACAGCTAAGAAATTAGTGTGTGCATATTGATGAAATTGCTACTTGTGGCTGTAAATTCTTCTCCACAGGAGATGAGGAAATAAATCCCTGTCGCAATTTGAGGAGAACCCAGAAAGTAAATGGCCCAAAGGTCATTAGGTAAATCCCTGGATTCCACATCTGGGCAATTTAGGAGCATACACCCACAGGTTTGTTTCAGATCAGCTTTTTAAACTGTGTATTTTCAAAAACATTTCAGAAGTTTCCAGAAAATAAATAGCTATGAAAGGACAGATCCCAGTTAGCGAGGACATGCAAACACCATTAACCGCTGGTTCCATTTTTCCATCATCTCTGCATTTTGCACAGCGTGAATCAGGAAAGAACAAGTTACCTCTCATGTTGTTTCCTGTATTTATATCACTCAGAAAACCCCTTGAATGTGTCCAATAGCTAATTATACAGCTATAAAGTGATCAGAGCGAATGCCATTGCCAATGCAATTAACATTCTTTATATGAGATTAACTGGATTTGAGTCACCTGCATAACTTGCTTACAATGTTAATCTCTCAGGAGACAGAGCGCTGCCTGCCCAAGCATGCTAAATAAAGAAGGTTTCTTCACACAGCCAGGTCAAATTTAGTTTAAGAGATAATCTTGACAAAAAAAATCTTTTTTTAATTTTTTTTTTTCCTTCTGAAATGGTTTGCCCATAAATAAAGCCTTGTGGTATAATTAAACATTGTTATTCTGTCAACAGCATCCAGAACGCAATATATTTGAGAAACAACAAGAAAGGGTGATAAATTAAAATCAGAGACATATATAAAAATTTTAATATAGCTATTTTATAAGCTTTCACTGAGTAAATAAAGTACCTACTTCCCAGACTTTCTCTGATGAATATTAAAAATCTTTGAAGAGAACTATAAAATAGGTCATGGTTATATGTCATGTCAACCAGTCATGCTATTACTAGGGTGACCTTTACAACTTCAGAATAAACTTTGCTTGCAGTTATAAAAGGGGGTTGTTAATGCAATCTGGACACACATCTAACAATCTGTTGCAGAGCTCGAGATATGCACTGCAAGGAAACCTACAGATCCTAACCAGAAACAGGAAAATGCTTTCCTTGCTTTGGGTGCTGACACAAGTTAACCTCAGAACTCAATTTTTCCCATATTTAACAATTGGTCTGAGTATCACAGTCTATTAGAGAGGCCCAGATGACCTTCAGATATATTATTGCCCTTTCTCTGTTCCTCAAAAAGTTAGACAGCCATACATGGGGCCTCAATCTAATTAAAATGATCCTAACTACCTTAATATATTTTCTCTGCTGAGGCAACTGCTAGAGTGAAGGATTTGATGGTCCCCATAATGCAGAGCTTCAATTTGATTTGGAATTGTTTTCTCTGTCTTTGCTGGAGAGAAGACATAATTTTTTTAAAATGTTTTTGTGTTCTAGAAAGAGTATTAAAGTAAAAATTAAAAGGTTTTGTGGAGGGATTTAATAGCAAATGTTAAAAATAAAAGCTTTTTTCCCTTTAGCATTCTGATGCAAAAAGAAAAAAAAAAAGAAACATTAGATGGTTGGAAGCAAATCTCACTTCAGAATGCTGTCAATAGCATAGATATTTTATTAAATACAATGTAGTCTGGATGAACTAAAGCTCTCTGCCAAAAAAGAAGACATGGAATAAGACAGGATATTACGATCTGACTGAATTTACCTATGTTGGCCAAATAAATGACAATACAATTGCAAAAGCAGATGGCTTTATATTTGAAGACATTCTTCTACTGCCTCTTTTTAGGCACTTTTCTATTTTTCGTTTAGAAATAAGCACCTTCTGCTCCCTAAGCAGCACCCAAGGTGAGACAAACTTGCCCAGTAAAGGCATGGAGCACTGACAAGAGGCACATGCATATGCAGTTAAATTATTTTTAGCCATGACTAGCAGTTTTCTCCTTTTATATGTGTCTACAACTATGTTCATTTCAGTCTTTACTGACCATTCTGTGTAGACCTTGGAGACCAAATCAGACCCTTTTTCTCAGCAGTATCATTATCCTATTACAGCTCCTCTGTATCTGTGAATAACAAATATTGTAAAGACAAAGTGGCTTTTTGCAAATTGCCACAAAGTAAACTGCAAGTGGGAAATACAAGTATTGGAAGAAAACCTGGAAAAGCTTTCATCTGAAGGGTACAAAACACACACTGCTGATTTCCCTGTCTCGATGTGTGAATGTATACCTGGTTTTGGTAGATTTTTCCATGTGACTGGGAAAGCTTCTGGGAATAATTTCCAGGATACAATGGGACAAGACTCTCTGCTAAGGCCTTCCACATAAGCAGAGCTCAAGAAAGTAAAATGGGGCACATTGTGCCCCCAATCCTTCATTGAAGGATTTTTGGATTTCTTTACTCTAATGCCATGTCATCACAGAATACTCTTCCTGAAACTACAGCTTCTCTTTCAGCCTGACAATATCTACAGAACATCAAACACAAATACTTCTTCAAGCATCAGACAAAAGTACCTCTTCATCCCACAGGACCTTATTAGCTGAAAAAAGGGTCAGGTACCAAAGTTAAAATCAAAGATTAATCCAAAACAATCTTTATTATGTCCAAATTGACATATCTTTTAAAGACGTTTTTGTACTCTTTTTAGTTATGCTTTATATTCTTTTGAGGTTCTTCTAAATATATCTTTTTCCACTGCTTGATGCCAGTCTCTTGAAGTTGATATACTAAGGCTTTCATTGATTTCACTGAGCTTTAGAATCAATATACAAGATATACCTTTGTACATGCACTTCAAATATATCATTTTAAGTCTGAAGGAAAAAAAAAAAGAAGAGTCTGAAACAGTTAAAACAACTTGAAAACTTATCTCAGAACAGGGCAATAGCATGACAAAATGATAAAGGTTATCTTAAAGAGTAATTCCCACTTTATTTAATTTCTGGCTCCATACTATGTATTTACAAACAAAGCTTTCTTACAAATTGGAATTAAACTGGTTCTGTTTTGCATCTTGCTTTAATTCTGTTCAGCCAAAGGCTATGAGACCAAACACAAGCAAAGCAACCTAATTTGTATCACTTACGCTTCTGAAATTGGCCTTTAGAATAATAAAGTCCCATGCTGGCTCTTTTTGTGAGCATTAGGATTGATGTCATCAACTTCCTTTAAAGGACAACTCCGTCACAGCCCCTGTCCTCTTGCTTTCCCCCAAGATTGCACCTTGGAGCCTCATAAAGGCAAAAACCAGCAATAGTGCTTGAAAGAAAAGACTAACAAAATGTAGTGTATCATCGTGACTGTTCAAAACACAGGAATAATTTTGGGTAGCACTGCTTATATGCTCAGCTTGCTTTATGGTATTTTGCTATGAACGTTTGACAATTTTCTGCTAGTAGAAGAATCCTGACTTGGGAGCAAAAGAAATGCAATCTGCATCAACACTACCAGCATACAGTTAGAAGTGCCTGAATGTTGAAAACAAGGTTTCAAGCAGACAAGCTTGGAAAAAAAAAAATACATCAGTTGTTTTGTGAAAGTTCTACATGTATTATTCACAACTATCTCTCAGCAAGGGTTATTGAATGGGTACCCAGCCAAGTGGATATAGTCTGCCCATGGGAAACTTTTATTTTCTCCCCCTACTTCTTTCCAAGGTTCTTATTGTCCATTTTATTTTATTGTTTCTAAACTCAGGAAAGGTGTAATATTTTAGGTTAGGCTTCCCTGCTGTTCCCCTCAGGCCAGCAGTTCCCACCACACTGAGTCACTTTTTCCAGAGGCAATGCCTCCAGCTAAATTTTCTGTACAGGGAGCCAGAGAGCTGTCACGAGCCACATGCAGAAGTGAACTTCAGGTATTACAGAAAAACTTGCAAAGCCAAAAGTAACAAGTGGCTGGTTCCCTGAGAGGTTTGAGAACTAGTATGAAACAGTTCCTTTTCCTACATAGTGTAGTTTACTAAGACCACTTTCACTCTAGGAAAAGGGTTTGGAGGGTTGCTACTGGGGAAAGGAGGAATGAATAATCAGCTAATTAATATGCATTCCTCTCCAGAATCATCACCAGCTCTAGGCTTGCCAGTCATCTAATTAAATTCTCTAAGTCTCTTAGCTAAGATCCTTTTATTTTTGTTGTAAAGTCCATTTTCAAATATGTGCGAAAGAGTTAAAGTTGGACACATCAATTGCATATAACTATTATGCTATTTTTAGCATATTTTTCCTCAAAATTTGCCCTATTCTCATGTTCCTCAAACCTCTGAGTCATATTAGAAGGTGGTTGTGGACTTAACATCTGATCCCTGATCTTGCCTGTGCTCACTGAAGCCAATTTGAACATGCACAGCCGACCTGATGCTTCCCAGTCTCCGGATTTATTCCCCTTCTATCCCCGGATAGAAGGGGAATTTTAGATAGAAAGATACTGAGATAGAGTACTTTAAATACAATTTTCTTTTGATAGTCTAACACAATGATGTAGCATTAAAAAATCTAATCTCATTTATTGCTGACTTTGTTCAGTATTCACCAAATAATTTTAGACTGTATTTTTGCAAGTTGATTGTTATGACTATATGCTGTAAAAAATTCAGAATATTGCAATTGGCTATGTATTCTTGTACATACCAAGATAAACCTAATATTTTTCATAGCCTGGCAGGATATGAAATTACATGCACATTTCAGTTTTCATTCCTACAGTTCAATGCTTTTTAACAAATTATTTTCTTAAGGATTTCTTAGGGCTTTGTAGTTTAGGACTGCAATTTGCTTGCTATCCACAGGGAGTATTACCAGCGATTAGCAGTACTTAAACTGATGAAGGAGATATGTCATGTCTTTTTCACATTTGTGTAAAGGCACAACTTGAACAGATTGGTTGCAAAAGACATAATAATTTGATAGAGATCCTTTCTCTGCTTTTTTTGCAATGTATAATAGTTCTACCTTTAAAAGTTGTATGTTTCCATGAATCCACAACAAACGAAGTGAAGTGGAAGCCTTTACAGTCTTGTAATGCTGGAAAGCAGGAAATATTCAGTCATGTGTCCTGTAGAATTTGCTCAGATCTTGTTTCATAGAAACTTTTCTTTTGTGAATCCCATAACATGTTTGAGGGTTTTTTAAAGTGGACAAACTAATGTTGAATTGCACATACATGCAAACACAGAAATGGCAATATGACTGGGTTTTCCAGTGCACCATATAAGGCAGAAGGTGAAAAAAAATAGGAGCGTCTGCCTCAGAAAGGACCTTAGGATTTCTGTTAAAAGTCTTACTGGAATTACAAACAGTCTTGTTTGGAATTTCAATATTGTATATTAAGGATATCAAAGAGCTGTAGCAGGAGGGAACATTAACACTATTTCTCTTTTGTTGGCATGTATGTGTTTTCTTTAGCAGTGAGCAGTGAGGGTTCTTTCCTTACTCATTTTCCTTTGTTTGCTCAGAACCTCTTGACTAATTCCTACAAAACCATGCCTGCAGGATGTATCACAGCAGGATTTTGTGGCTTTGCTTCTTGTCCAGTTGTTAGCAGGATGGATCCAGCTCTAAGTTCAGTTATTACTCTACTTTTGCTCTGGACGCTAATCATGGAGGGAATGTTACCTGACAACTTCTTGCCTTACCTATCAGGTCTAGAAGCTCTTTCACACAGGAAACCTACTAATTTTTGATTCATTCAGCAGCACCTGGCTTACAGGATAAAAGCTGCTTCATGTCCTCTAAAAAACAAATGAAAGTATCTCTCTATATACAGAAAAATGATTTCATAATTTTCTCTAAAGACATTTTACTGATCAACCAAGCTCTTTCATGCTCTCCTACAGAGGTTTGATTTCACAACCCCACAGGGATATGGAATTGTTTAAATAGGCAATGTTAGTCCAAATCTCTGGTAAGCAGGCACTGTCAACCGTATTAGAATAGCTTAATTACTTTTGGCAATTTTGTGGGGGAGAGCACTGTGCTTAGAAGGAAAACCTTGAGCCATCACAGCTCTACCATTATAAACCATAGGTTTTGAAACCTGCCTTCTTCAGGAACTGTGAAATGCACCCTAAGCAGTACTGCTGTGTTTTGTTAACCTTGTTTTGGCTCATATTTCGACGAGCCACCCAGGGCAATCCAGCCTATGGCATTTGTGGTGAAGAGGAAATGAAGGCAAGAGTCACTTTACCGAAGACAGTGAGCTCCGCGGGGTCGCTGTCCCGCTCCCCCACCATGTTGGTCCCCACACAGGTGTACATGCCCGCGTCGCTCTTCCTGGTGTTGGAGATCATCAGCTTCCCGCCACGGATCTGTCTCAAAACAAGGAACGTATTTTTGACTTCAGATAAACAAAGTATATCAGGGGAAAAAAAAAAAAAAAAAGCTGCCTTCTCGGGCAATAAGTTCCACAATCAAGGTGTTTTAAAGTTTTGCTTGTAAATATATGTATAGCTTTAAAATTATAAACTTATATATTTGAATATATTTCAGCTATTCCAGAGAATATTTTTATCATACTGACTAATTTCAGCTTGCAACTAATTTCAACTACTGAATAATTCCAACTGCACTTAATTTTTTTCCTTCGGTGTTCATTAGATTCTTTACATTTCAAAGTTTACATTTCTTGCTGCCTCTTGGCAGCACAAAGAGCTTGTATTTCTTGCATGATGACACTTCAAGCACTCTTGACATCTCTCAGAAGAAAAAGGCAGTTGGATTTAGTTTTATTTAGTTCATTTTACTGATTTCTTAATAGTTTCCTTGATCACTGATTTAGACAGAGTTTCTCTCTTTGTTGCGGCAAACAGACTGAATCTGGCCCAAACTGAAAATTCACCTGAGTCTCATAAGACTTAACATTTTTTTGGCTACAAAGGGTGCTTGTAGAGGGAAAGAGCAGGATAGTTGAAAGAAAGTAAAAATTTGCAGCTTGTGAAGTCACAGACAGTGTCAAAGGTTAGACAATGGGGTGCTTTCGGAATAATCTAGGAATACAGCCATAGAAACTTGAGAGTCAGGGAATGATAGTCAGCTCCCTGCAACTCTTCCTTCTCTACTCTTGTGTGGACCCTAGCAAAGAGAGCCTGGTCCACGAATAGCAACAACTTAGGTTGCTTGGCTTGAAATCATTCCTTAGGCACCCAAAGCCACAAACAATCTTCCTGATAGTATGTCCATGTTGAATAAGGTCAGCACTGAATAATTACATACAACATAAAACTTTACTGAAGGAATATCATTAGTGAAAAGTTAAGCATTTAAAAATTAGGAATGAGATGTCCTCACACCCTTAATTTATCCCAGTTGCTTGCACAGACCATGATTTAGCTCTACTCCCTTGATAAGTTAGGTATTTCTGCTGGATCCTTTTTCACTCAGTACAAGAAATGAACAGTCACAGAATTCAGCCAGTGTTACTCAATCAGTCAATACTGATTCATATTCAGGAGTCATAATTCTTTACAGTGTGACTTCAGCCTTCATTTAGAATGCACGTCCAAATTACTACACTAAATACAACTTTACCAATATCATCCTAAGCTGTTGGGGTTTTTTCCCATGTAGTATTTTTCTACCTCAGAGATACAACTGAATTTACCTATAAAACACCTCTCTGATATATCTGATTTTGACAGTTCAGTGAACTGAGATGTAGAAAAGATAAGTCCAAATGGCTCAAAGACATCCACTGAGTCCCCCATCTAACCGAGCACCTTATATGACCAAATCTACAGCTGAATGGATCTCCACTGCACTAGACATACAAACCAACCCTCAGAGAAGTTCAGGGTGGAGAGCCAAACCAGAAGCAATGAACAACCTTCTGCCCTCATTTGGGAAAGCTCAGAGAGGCAACCTGCCGAAAGTCTCTCTGGGAAAGGCTATAAAACCATAAAGTTCTGCTGCTCTCGGCTGTGTGTCCTGTGTCTGCAGACAACCAACCAGCAAGTCGTACTCACACTGATCCGCTCCTCCCTGTCATCAATGCGGACTTTATCCTTCTTCCAGTAGATGGTGGGCTCAGGGTGTCCTCGAGGTGGCTGGCACTCCAGGATGGCAGGCTCTCCAGCTGCCACCACGACATCTGTAGGGTTCTGGCGGAAGTCATCCCGGAGCACTAATGCAATAAATGAGGGAAAGAAGGAAAAAAAATTATTAGACGTGATGACATTGTAAGTGGGGAAAAAAAAATACATGTAGAAACATATAATATTAAACAAACAAGTCTCAACCATTATTAGGTGATGAGTTTGCATCTTCAATTGACTATAAAAGATCTCATAAAAGAAGCTGGTGGGTGGGTCCTTTTGTCCAGTGGAGGCAGATTTCACACACATGGCTTTTTTTGCCCTTGCTTTTTTCTCCAGATAAGAACACTGCTCTGTATTTAAATTGGAAAGACCTGTAGCACCCCTTACTCTTTTTAACCTTGACAGGGTCACTTTCCATCGTTGCAAAAGTAGTATTGCAGGTAGGATGTTCAGTTCTTTTCACAACAGAAAACAACGTGCTGAATATCTGCCTTGCCTGGATCTCCAGCTTCAGCACAAGCTAGGTAAAAAAGGGACAGAACTGACACTGAACTACAGAGTTACACCTTGATTAAGGCTGTTGTTGTTATCCCTGTTATTACTGTTATCACCAAATACATGCCAAAGTGATCACCAGTTCTGAAAGGTGTCAGAGAAATCAAGCTGTTACTATTGTTCTTCCAGCACATTTATTTCTTCCTTCTATATATTTAGTTCTAATATTTCTGCAACTTCAACCAGTACTGTCCCATGACATAAAAAACAAAGGGCATTTAAATCACTGAGCTGTTTGAGAACTAAATTAGGCATCACAGGCCAACTTGTTATGTAAATCAAGCTTCTATAAGGAATTAGGTCCAACTAGCTGGCTTCAGTGTGTTAAAATGATATCCACTTCATCGTTATTCTTCCATGTGTGTCCTAGTCTCTAGGTTAATTGACATTCTTATAAACATAAAACTGAAAATAGCTCTAGATGAGCTACTGAAATAGAATTTAGGGCATTGCCCCTCCTTGAATTTCAGCTACGTATGGCTTTCATTAGAGCTTTAAAACAGTTCTCGCCCTTAATGGAACCAGGGCCCTCTGAGAAATTAGAAAACACTGTATCCTAGTGAAGGGGCAAGTCAGGAAGAGTTCAGCAGAAATTGCTCAGTCTCATTTCATAAGCAGAGATAATTTACTGCTTTCAATGTTAATAAAATGTGCCCCATTTTAACACTGGGAACAGAATATTTTTCTGTTCTGTAATAAGCCAGAGGAAAAATATGATTAATACATACAAGAATTGGTTTCTGAATAGGCTGAGGGGAGTGGGCTGTATATACGTGGCACTCAGAATGACATACAAGGTAACTTTTATAGTTCCTCATTTTGGGATACACAGGTAGATCCCAGAGGAAGGAGGGAATTAATTGGAAGTTAATTCCTTTTCTAAGACACACACACACAAAAAGAGTGACTATCTAGGTTTCGCTCTCAAAGTATAAAACAGAAGTGACAGGACAGAGTTGGCAACAAATGCAGCTCTGGCAAAGACCTGAAGGCTTCTTAGGTGACATACCCCATGGATACATATTTTTTCCAACAGAAAACAAAAAAACTCAACCCCAAAGTATTTCTGATTAATACAAATCACTTGTACGCTTCTGATTTGCAATAATCAAATTGACAGAAATGGAATTTATAGAACTTCGAGATCAAATGGAAGAAATAACTTATGCAATGCACTGCACAGAAACATGATGAGGATCATGGCCTGCTGACTATTTGGCAGTACAACATTTTGCAAAGCCAAGAAAGCCAATACCATGGCAATTTCAGGGAAAGAACCCGAGAAAAAGTCTTACAAAATCACTTTTTTCAGGAAGCATCTTCATGTATCTCCATGATCCCTATGATACACAAGAAGAAAAAATACTTCTAGACAATGCTATACACACTTTCACAACTGGCAAATGGAAAAAAATCAGCTCCCTCCATTACACACAAAATAATTGTTTTTATTGGTTTGATTCTATTCGCAATTACAGAACTTCAGTGCAAATCTGCTAGTGGAAAATCCCCAGAAAATCAGCAGATCCCACCACATAATGGCTTTATATTCCTTGACTCCTAACTCCTGGCAGCAATATTAAGGACAGCATTTTCCTTGAACATTTCACTCTGCTATATGAACCTGACAAATACAGTTTCCTAGAGTGATACACAGTAAATTACATTAACTTTCTCTGAATCATCCCAGCAACTGTGTAAGGTTCCAATCAGCCTCAGAATATGAGGCTAAGAGGTGATTTGATTTTATCACATTCCTTTAGCCAAAGTCTTACTGCAAAACTGGCTTGAATGGAAGACAAAATTGATGCTACAGGCCTTGCTTAATCTTGCTCTGTACCTCAGCACATATGCGAGTGTTGAATAGATATATCTCATCATTTCCATCTAAAGCATTCTGTGTTTTGGAGAAAAACAAAAAATGGTTGGAGGAAAAAGAAATAGGGGAAAAAATAAAGCTGTGACAGAAAGATAAAGATAAGAGAAAAATGTGTGGAATATAAATTAAAGAAAGAAAGCAACTCAAAGAGGAAGAGGGGGAACACTAAGTTTAGGGAGTGCGAGAAGAAAAAGCCAGGTAAAGAAAGGGGAAAAAAAGAATAAAAGCAGAGAGAAAAACAAGGTAAAGAGCAGAGGGCACAGGCTGCCATTCCTGTGATTCAGTGCTTTTAAAGCAATCTAACAATGGAAAAGCACAGACATTAATCTGATCAGCCCAGCCAATCCAGAACATCCAAACATGACCCCAAGAGAGGGGGAGCAGGGAAGAGGGGGCCAGAGTGCGAGCTGGTGAGCCTGGCTGTCCCCCTCCAGTGGCACAGGAAGCCACAGAAGAAAGGAGCGTTGACGGGAAGTTGAGTTCACACATATTAGCAGAGTAAATGGAAAAGTTGCAGCACAGCTTAGTGCATTCACCATATCTAATGGTACAATCATCTGTGAAAACAGAAAAATGATTGAGAGTTGCAGAATATTCCTCAGCCAATTATCCACAATTGCTGGGTACTTCCAGATAACTATTATTGTGCCTGAGCAGATCACCCTTTCCACACATGGGCAAGAGGTTTTTGTTCACTTGAGAAGCCAGCCCTCTTCAGGGCCCTTTTGGCAGGGCACAAACACTAATGTTTTAAAAATTCAACACAGGTGGAAAAAATATTCCACCAGCCTCCTCTTCCTCATCCTGTGTTCTTATTTTGCTTTATTCCAATTTTAACGTAAGTTACACATCTCCCTTTGTGCCTGCGTGGGTGTTTCCCTACATTTGGGGTTTTTTCCCTACATTTTGGGTGTTTCCCTGCATTCTTTACAGTGAGGGTGTTGAGGTACTGGAACAGTTCCCCAGAGAGGTTGTGGATGCCCAGTCCCTGGAGGTGTTTAAGGCCAGGCTGGATGAAGGTCTGAGTAACTACTGGAAGGTGCCCCTGTTCACAGCAGGGGCATTGAGACAAGATGATCTTTCAGGTCACTTCCAATCCAAACCTTTCTGTTATTCTGTGATTTACCAAGGGGTGACAAAGAGAAAGATGTCTGGCACCCCTCCCTACCAACTCTGGCACTGCAGCACAGCCAGTTTGGTTCCCTTTGAAGGGCAGGATCCCAGGGGGTTGCAACAGCGACAGAGAGAGGAGATGCTCCTCTCCTCCAGCCCAGCTTCAGCTCAAATGTTTAAAAAGGCAAAGCCTTGGAAGGGCAAAAGCTTCTGGATGGCTAAGCCTTGCTTTCTGGAAAGGCACCAAGGGACTGGAGCGCTGGGAAGGACAGCTAACGCGTACACACAGCCCACAGTGGTGCTGCGGACAAGAGTTTAATTAAAGTTTGATCGGTCTCTTTGTAGCTTGAAAAGCTGATGCTGCTCAAACAAGATAGATGTCTGTGAGCAGTCACGTTGGTCTTTAAGGCATGCAAAGCCCTGCACAGCCATTTCCAGGTAGCCAGGAGCGTAACCAGGGAAAGGCAGAACATCCAGCAGCAGCAGTGACGAGATAAACACGCGCAGGGCACGCACCTGCTGGGGCCAGGGAGGGAGGGGGGAAGAGTGAAAAGGAGCCCCTGCTACCAAGGCAACTGCTCACCAGCACCTGCCAGCTTAGGCCCAAATCCAGGCCTCGGTCAAACTGATGCTCATAAACTCAGAGAATTACACGGAAACCGAATTAATTTCCTCGGCCGAGGCTCCAGCAATTTGTTTAAAGGAAGTGGAGATAAAGCCACGATGTTTATGGGGTAGGAGGGAAGGTGGCCAGGTCAAAATTATTCTAGGCTAGATATCCATGCCTTAATCCTGCTTTCCAGCTTCCAGGCCCTTAGAAAGAAAACATTTTTATAGGATTTACATTTACATGATGATTACAAATAACCATCTGTCTGCTTCCACTTTTTCAATCTGGTCCATGTCCCACGAGCCCCCAGCCTGTGGTCAGAGCAGCTAAGCTGGAAGGAAGAAGTGGATGCCCGTCAGGAGGCTTTGGGATAATTGCATTCTTCTCCCACCAGCGCTTGTCTCTCCACCTCCTCCCCCTCGGCGTGCACGGTGAACATCTGAGATTACCGGGAACAGGAGGGAGGGAAAGAGTATCTTTTTTGCCTTTTTCTATGAATGATAATGTCTTAAAACACAGCTACATCTGTTGTGCTGACTAGAGGGTATAAAGAGATATCGAGTAAATGCTAATAGGCTGTTGTAACTCGGGTCCTGGTAGTTTGTATTCCCCTTTCTGTTCCATTTTGTGCTTATCTCAGGATAATATTATTCTTATACAAAGACTTTGTGCAGACACATCAGTGACAGTCTGGTCACCTGCCACACACAGGTAGGTCTCCCCTGATCCAAGGCACTCCCCCACAGGCATTTTCCTAAATCCTCATCTCTCCACCACTGTCTTGGCACTTCCCACCTCTGATACATACTGATAGGAACAACTGACATGAATTATTATGTCAAGTAAGTGCCCAGATGTCATGCAGTGGACAGATTAAAGGATTATTATACTTTAGGTAGCATATGGTGCTAAGGGGTGTTTTGGAACTT